TATTGGCCTCATAAGCCACCAGTGTGCCTGTAACAAACGTGGATAGAACCTTCCTAAATCTTCTTTCGCGAAGCCCAGCCATGAAAAAACAAAAAAAAAAAGTAGGTATTTCCAGAAGAATATGCAATTTGCTTTTCAGACCATGACCTTAAGGATGTTTCTGCTACGTGCCTTTAGTTTCTTCCTAGTGGATGCTGCACAATACTGGGAACAATGACAGACCTGTGCACTGGCTCTAATCAGTGGCTGTTTGAAATATGTTATTTTCTTTGATTTACTTCAAGCATGCTATTTCTCTCTCTTCCCCAATACTTGTTCCTTCTTTATGGTCTTAAACACTACTCAAAGTTGCTGCTGGTTTTCTTCTGGTGCCTGTTGAACTTCACATAGTTTGTAAGTGACAGTTAAATCTACCTCCACCATTGATTAATCTGGGTTTCAGAGCTTCTCATTTATGTTTTTAGCCTTTGTTCCACTTCTAGTTCCTAGTTATGACAACGAATACAGTTTGCTGCTATTTCTGCACTGCTTGTTTTCGTTTTCTCCTTATTTCAGAGAGTTGCTCAATGTGTGCTGTTCCAAAGCTTCTGCCATGTTGGCAATTCTTTTCTGGCTGTTAACCTAAACAGCCTTCACAGAAGATTTCAGCCCTACATAACAGATTTCCCTTAGTGTCCACATAGGTTGCATCTCCTGCATGTGTATGGTTGCATGCACTGCCATATCAGATTTGTGCGTAGACACCAATGCAGGCTGGGTTAGAAGATGTCCTTTGCACTTTATCCCTCATGTGGTTCATCAGACCAGCTCCATCCTCAGCAATGTCACTGCATTGAAGTGGCCCATCGAAGTACTTGCATGCAGCAGCAGCAACTCTTGATGACCTAGGATGAAAGCCCTTCCTTGGCTGCCCTGAGGCTTCTTGGTTACAAAATTCACAGTAGAGAACCAACCAAGAAAAAAAAATCCAGGAAAGAAGAGACAAAAACCCAGCAGACTGAAAGAAGAAACACTGTCTTGAGCAAACCATGACTGCAATGGATTTGTGACAACCTTAATGCTGACAATTTGGGGGGGTTGTGCAATCCTTCTGTGCTTATTATTTACTATAAAAATTTGTTGCATTTTTCCAGTGAGGGACATGACTTGATTTTTGCCAAATTAGAAAGAAAACCAAGGCAATTCATGTATGGTTCCCACTCCCATCTGAAGATGATTCCCTACCATGATATTTTCAGTTGTCCAGTTCTTAAATCATCTTGATTTTTCTCTACCCACTTTCACATGCGTTAAGCAACAAGGTTACCTCTCAAAGTGAGATGTGGTTGGTAAAATACCGTCTGGATATTTTTTTCCTACTAACAAACGGAGACTATTGATCTGAGGTCCGTGAGGAACAACAAACACAGTCTCTTGATATTTGCCTACAGAATCATTTGTCATTGCAAAGTTGGACTTTGGAAATTCGTCCTGAATTAGCCCTGAGACTTTAAAAGAACTTTTAAATTATCATCTTTAGAATCAGTTTGTCTGTATTAGACCATGTCCTGATATGTCCAGAGATATAAAGCTAACTGTTTGTTACTAAATACTGAATATACTAAACATATTTATGAGTAAGAAACTTTTGTCATTGGTTTATGTGATTCTGAAGAGGACTTTCAATGTCAAGTGTTACATGTCTGAAGATAGACATGGAATGTTTTTTCTATTACTTATTGGTATTCTTACAGCAACAATTAACACATATTGATAGCATTAACTTAATGTCAAAGAAAATAAAGATCCCCAAACAAAACAAAAAAATGTATTTTAGGAATATTCACCATAATTTTTAAGTTATATTTTTCACAAACATCTTAAGAAACTAAGATCTAAAAAGTTGCCATTTATATTTTTTCCACCAGTTTGAGTTATATAAAAAAAGACTTAATCAATCTATAATCTAAATACTTTTACTGCCTTTCCATATGTTAGTAAGATGTGGTAAGGATGTTGACTAAAAAACTAAAAAGCAATAATAAAATAATTTTAAATATTTACTGCTTTGTGTTTCTTTCCTTTCATAACCATGTAACTATCTAGTGTAGTTGGACTCAGGAAACCTTAAGTGGAAAGGTACAAATATCAATTCACAATCTGTTTTTACTCTATAATAATAATCCACTGCTAACATTTAGGAAAGTGACTTCTCAAATGTTTTCTGAATTTTTTATGTGTGTTTATGATAGCTTAAAGCAGGTTAACAGTCCCTAGGCTACCACTGAGGAGGAGACAGAAGAAGGCAAGCTAAAACAGCTACATTCATCAACTCTTTACAATGGTGCGTCCTCCAGTGTCCCAGTCAATGATCCCACAGTTTCATGCCATACTTCGTTACAAAACCTAAAGAAATTAATGAAAATTCACTCTGATATTAAGGGGATCTATATTTAAGAATAATCCTCAAAGGTTAGTGGATTAAACAGACAGGTCTTACACCTTGTACCTTCTTTTCCCTCTTTCCCTTCTCCTCTCACAGGCACAAACTGTGATTGTACAGCAACAGCTACATCATCTGGAGACTTTGAAAAATCTGAATATCCTACAGGAGCATGTCAGAAAAGACATCCTACAAAACTGGTGAAAAGTGACTTGTATTTCATTAACACTACAAGCTATACTCAGCTGTAGGCTGGGCAAATACTAGTGACTTTTGGACAAGGAAAAATTGTTTTTATGTTTTAAGGGGTGATTATGTTTATAAGGGTAATGGTTGAAAGATGAGCACTACTACGTAGTGGTATGCATACATAAGTGTTTCACGGGATCACAGGAATTTAGCCAGCGATGTGCTGAAGTCTTGTCAATCAGTCATTTTTCTGAGGGTTTACAATTTTCCCAATGAAGAGGACAGTGTGGGTGAATTTATCCAGAATCACCAGGAGAAAGGGCCTGTTGAATCTGACTCGAGGCGGACGAGGAAAATCACCAGATCTCCAGGTAACCTCCTTCACTGTGACCCCTGTTGCTTCAGTGCCATTCTCATGAACATTCAGCACAGCTTTGTGAATCACCTGCAAGGAACAAAGCAAAAGAGCCTCCAGCTGACAACCCAGCCAGAAGAGAGCAGTCTGCCACCCTCTTCACTCTTGGCAAAGGGAACCCTGCCTGGAGCGAGATCCAGCAGCCTCTGGGAAGGTCATCACCAGTTGCTCCCCTTCCCACTGCAGTGCCAACAGCCATCACTGCATGTGCAGAGAGTAACCCTCAAACTGCGGGCAGCCAAGGAGCAGTCAAGATGACTGATGGCAAGAAACTCTGCAAGGAAAGAAACCTGGTAATTTAGCCTAGACTCAATTTTGTCTTTGGCAGCTTCATGTATTATTGTGAATTTACCCTGTCATCTAGCTAAAAAAAATAACTTTTTGAGAACACTAGAAGGAGAGGAATAACAGCCTTTTGCCCTCTGTAGGAGGAATTAGAGGAAATTTTACCAAAGCTAATGTGCTACATTTAGATAATTTTGTTTGGTAGCCAAAAGAACATTTAATTATATGTATGTCTTCTTCCTCGTCCTGGAACCATGCATTTCTTGTACCTCTTGTACGCATGTTTGGCTCCAGGTTTATGGATGATAGGGCTTGCTTTGCCTCCAGACTGGCAGCTGATGATGATTGAGTGATGCTTCAGAGAGACTGAGATAAGCTTTTCATGGAATATTAACATCAGGTTCCTCAGAACAGACAAATATTGTGGTTGCTTTCACATGCTTACTTACTTTTGAAACCTTCAGTCCAGGCTCCTCAGTAATCCCAGACAGATCAGCTTGGTCAGTGAACAGATCGATCATACCCATTTGTTTGACTATCCTTTTCACATCATAGGTACCAGATATAGAAAATTTTGGAATGTGCAGATGTATTTTTCTGTAACAAACAACACAAATAGGGACAAATTGTCATCTAGGTAACAATCCTCAATGCTTCAGTAGATTGAAACCTCACATTTGTTTTTCTAACTGTAGATAGTCTTCTCTCAGGGTCCAGATATCATTTACGATCAGGTTAGCTACTTAATGTGGAGGGTTGGAACAGAATGAGGCTATTAACCCCTACCTCCACAGTGGGGTTCAAGGAGTGAGGGGGAAGACATAGCTATGCCAACTCAATGACAGACAGAGCTACTACTGCCAAATAGGAGTGTTTTTTCAAAAGATCATACCTAGCTACCCTAAGGCTGTTCAAATATACGGCAGGCCTGGGCCACCACAGAAATAGCTGCAGTAATGGTGAATTAGTCTGCTTTTACTTACAATGCCCACAACACACTAACATACTACAGGTTCTCTATCATAGTTTCCCAATGCTTGTATGAAACAAGCTTCTGTTAACTTCATCGTGTTGCTAAGTAACTTTTGGTTGAACCAGGAACTTAACCCAAGATGGATCCCAAGTTCAATACCCTATTTTTTCACTAGTCATAGCTCTTTTTCATTTTCCAACTAAGAAAAGGGAACTCCACGCAGAGGAACAGTAAGTGTATAGAGTTCAGTAGAATAACCTGGCCTTTATAGTTTTGTTTTGGTGAGATAAACACTACTAATCTGTGGCGTGGTCACCTCTTACCTTAACAAAGAAATCTTACCTGTCTTGGAGGGACTTTTCCCATTTAGATACAGTCTTTTTCAAGAGAGCATCTTCCACCTGCTTCATCTTCCCTTCGTCAGGCAAAACAAATAATGCCGCAACATCTCCTTTGTAAGATATCTGAACCAGCCAACAGGACAGCTCTTCATCAAAGTAATTTCTGTAGTGACCCTTTCGATACATCATGTCAACTTTTACAGATGTTTTCTGATCCACAAAAAAATCCTCCTGTCTTGTATATAATGTACTGAAGGGTTTCTCCCAATGAGCTTATGACAAAAAGAAAATTTATTCAGTGGAATACAAAGAGGAATGGTCACAGTGAATATAACAGGATCCAGTTCCACAGCCTTCCTTCAATTAGAGCAATTTTTTTTTCATGTTACTGCATCCTCAGATGTTATAGCATTGTATTTTTTTTTAAGTGCTTAGAGACAATTACAGACAGATAATACTGAAAGCGCTGTCTTTCACTAGAGCATGAGTCTGTGATCACATTAAAGAATTTACAAAACTCAAGAAAGATATTTGTATTAAAAATTCACTAAACCAGGTGAGGACACATTTTTACTGTCAACAAATATACATGGATTTATAGCAATACTTTCAAGATACTGAACATGATTTCCTCAATTTAAAATATTTAAACTCCAGTTTCTTTCTTTTAAGTTTTCATTCCCTGCAATAAGCATTAAATATCTAAGCTACAACCTTTGCACCCTTTGATATTTCTTACCTCTAAGGAAGACATAGTTAACGAGAACCATTGCAGTGAGAGGATCAAGATTTTCCACTAGCTTAACAATTTTCCCATTTGTCTTTTCCTCAATATAACTGTTGATCTGATTCTCAGCGCCAACAGAGTTGTTAAAGTCAGAAGAAAAGACTTCAGATTCATAAAAGCGTTTGACGTCATCCAAGAACTTCTGTACTGGTTTTAGAGTCTCTTCTATAAAAAGGGCATTTCCCAGGCTCAGCTGGAACTCACTGTCTGAACGGTTCAGCATGTGGAGGAGTTGGCAAAAATTGTCATGTATTTCCAGCTCCTGAGTCTTTTTCAGGTTAAAGGCAAGCCCTTCCAGAATCTGTGTCAGTGTCACTGACTTGGCACCGAGTGCCAGCATTGCAAAGGAAGCAGAGATGCTTATGGGTGAAAAGAAAATATTTTGATCCATTGCTTCGGATGCGACCAGCTTGTAAAACGAAAATGCAAAGTCTGTATTGCTGAAAACTAGTTTGACAAACGTTTTGTTCTTAACTGGATAAGCTCCTTCCCACTGAGAACTATGTCCTGGATAATATGTCCCTTTAGCATCATCCTGCTTACTGCGGTAGCGAGGGCGCTGATAACACTGGGCAACAGTATACAAAGCAGCCAGCAATAAACACAAGGAGAAGGTGGGCTTCATTTTCCTTTTAGCTGTTTCTGGAAAAGAAATAGACATACAAAATATGGCATGGAAATTAATCTGTTCATGCTTCAGTAAAGTAAAATGACGGTCTCAGAATATACTTTGTTTTCCAAAGTCCCACTTATAATTCACATTCCTGATGCGTGTCAGTGTGTGTCCTAGAAAGAATATGACTGCTAATACACTATTTACATAGCCTAGTTCTCTCTCAAAAGAGGTAATTTTAAACTTTTAAAAGTTTATTAAATTTAATGTTAGCATATTAACAGTCCTAGGCTAAGACTGATTTTTTAAAAAATATGCAAATAACTGGAAACTTATGACATTTTCCCCAGAGTAACTGGTAGGAGTTGGTTTTGTACTCAGTACTGCAGGATAGTTACTGCAGCCCTGTTAGCCTTCCTCAATTCATCAAATAATTAGAAAATGAAATCTGTGTTAAACAAAAATGTGACAAACATAGATCATACTGTCTAGAAAGAAAATTTCAAAATACTCTTACAGTTTCTTCAAAGATGAAACACTAGATCAATGTGGTAAGAAATTCTATAGGCATCTGTATTGTTTCCACACCAATTTTTTATTTAATTATCTGAAGTGTCTTCTTCATATCTGTTCTTTCTGGCCTTTGAAATGTTTTGACTTTTCCGTAACAGTTATATCCCCTTCTTTAGATGTACAAAGGTGCCCTTCCCAGACAACAATGTAACTCCCCAAAATAAAATGTCCAAATAATCCAAGGGAAAACTAGAAGGGTACTTACATTGCTACGAAAAAGATCTTGATGCATCCATCTAGTCTTGTCTGCTCCTTCTTCTCTTCAGTGCCATTGAGCAGCATTACGCAGAGCACCCCCATTAATCATTAATCAGTTCAAACAAAAATTGCCAGTGAGGATGCCCAACAAGCAGTAATGACATGGATATTTTGGACAATTTGTCCAAACCAAACACATGCCAACAGTGCTGGGTGAGGGGACTACAGACAAGAGGGAACAGAGCAAGAACTGTATCTCCTGTTGCTTCCATGCTTGAGGACTGACAGGAGAAGCCTGCTGTTGTGGGTGTCTGGCAGGAGAACCACAGCCATACCCTTCGTGGCTGCAGCTGAAAGCTGTGAAGACCACTCCTTGCCTGGGTCCAACTGAGCCAGCACAGGTCACAAGGGAGTGCACTGTCCCTGCCAGAGTGTCCACTCCACTTCATCCTGGGAACTGTAACCTCTCTGTCAGGATTTCAAAACAGGGTTTGGATTTAGAAAGCCCTTTTGCCTCACTGTATACCTCAGTCACAACCTTTGACACCTTGTTTAATGGTTTCAGGGCTTTTCTTATGGAGGGCAGACTGGTGATTGGCGAATGGTCTCTAGGTTTCTAACAAGAATAACATGTGACATTACCAGTCTAGTAAGACATTTACAGTCAATACAGTTGTTTACTCATTGTTGTTGGTCTTCACCTCTGGCTGAGTATTTGGGGAATTGGTGAAGAGCTTTTCCTTGGCTTTTTAGAAAATATACAACAAAACAACCACTGCTAAGAAACAGTATTTTTGGCGGCTCCAGAGACTGACTGCAAAGGGAAACGTGGTCAGTGAATACCTTCTTTCCTTGGGTTAGTATCATATGCGACTGAAATGGACATCAGGAGGACTCAAAACAGGCCAATTCACCTTTCATCCAGAAGGTCTTAAAAAAGACGTGCTGGCATCACTGGATGATATTCAGGGTTGAATATAATATATGGACAAATCACAGAATATGGACAAATCACAGAAGGAGAAACTAAGGTAGGAAATGAAATTTTTAAACCGATACGTACTCTCCTCCATTGAGTAGGATGGTTTTGGTGTTCCACTTAGCACTTATAGTGTCATTCCAATCAGGTAGATGTAATATATGCAATATGCATCCCATTTATTCCACATTACCAGCAATCCAAAATGTTGATGGTCACCATCAGATTTTGAAGTGAGGTTAAGATCCATAATCCATAAATCACTGAACCATTGCCCAGTAATTATAACTCGATTATGAACTGTCAAAGTAGCTAGCAATGCATGTGGTCACTGGCCTATTATAGCTTACAAAACAGTGAATAAGATTTACAAGATGGAAAACAGGAACTTGAGTATTTCCAGTTTAGCAAGGTCTGCAAACATACCAATAATCCTTAATCTTCATTAACAGAGATCAACTTGTTTATTAGCAGTGAGGCAGAAAGTACATAAATGAAGGGATGACCTGAAGGATGACTCCTTTTTGACTGGAGAGGCATGCAACACCCCACACTTGCAATGAAATGCTGTAGTACCTCTTCTCTTTAAAGAATAGCAAATGATGTACACAACCTCTGCTGGGAACACAAGTTCTTTCTACTTTGTTCATTAGTCCTTGTTATTTTCATTGGTTTTTAACCAAAAAGGTATATTTATCAGCCTCAGGGATTCTGGAAGGAGTTCCATTTCAAGATACCTTCTGCTGCTATCTAAAACCACATAAAGCAAGAAAAATTTATGTTGTTTGCAATAGCAAAAACATATTTTTTAAGGTCTATAGCTTTCAGAGCATCGTGGAACTATGATTTACAGATTGACTACATCATGGGATAGCAATTCAGTGATGCCATATTGCCCAGCAAATAGCTTGTAAATACATTGAAAGGATTTAATTTTCCAGGTTCCACCTAATTCCTTCCTTATTCTCCAAGACAGACAACACTTATTCTTTTCTGTTTTCTGGGGTTTCTTGCCATTATAGCTTTAAATTTTATTTCGTTTTCTTACATAATATTCCACCTGGCTAAGATATTGGGGAGAATAAAAAAAAATTAAAATAACTTAAATTAACTAATTATAAATTACAACATGCCAAGAAGATGGAGGGTACCTTGTCAGCAATGTTAAACTGTTGGGTTTTAATAATGACAACTCTTCCAAATGTTCCTGGAATTATGCCAATTAACCATGTCGACAACAAGTTCCATCACACTTAACAGTAAGTTGGGAAGACAAATGTTATCATTCCAAACCTTCTTCCCTCTTCTTCCTTCAGATTTACATGCTGAGCACAATGGTATGAAATATATAGCATGAAGTGATATGAAATATGATTTGCAATATTCATTGGATCACTTGGAGTCATCTGTTCCAGCTGTGTCCCCTCCCAACTCCTTGGGCACCCCCAGCCCACTCACTGGCAGGGTGGGGTGAGAAGGAGACAAGGCCTTGGCTCTGTGTAAGTGCTGCTCAGAAAGAACTAAAACATCTCTGTATTATCAACACTGTTTTCAACACAAATCCAAAATAAAGCCCTATTTCAGAAGATGCTTCTCATTTTCCATTAACTCTAGACTGCAATTTAACTTGCGTTTGTCCATCATGGAACCCAGAAATGCTCATCCTTTCATGAAGGTTTTGCTTCATTTCTTTTCAAGAAATTAATTCCTCATGTAAAATCTTGATAATTTAATTTTAAATATAAAAGTTGAAGTAAAGTGAACACAAGATATATATAAAAGGATTTTATTTTGTGGATGTGGGCTGCTCATGTGTTGGCATTGTTACTTACTACTGAGCCATATGCAGGAGAATGTCATCTGGCAAATGTGCTTATCAAATACAAACTTCAAAAGGAATACAGTGTAATTATGAAGATACTTTGTAAAAGACATAGATACATGTAAATACACACCCACACTCCCCCCCCACACCTGTAAGTACCCACGGTATTGGAAAAAGATCAGCTCATATGATGTGTTGATCTAACAATACGTGCATAAGCCTGGCAGACAGGAAACTTGGGTTGCCCTCTGAGGACAATTCAAGTAGAAGAAGAAACACAGGCCCTAGGAGTTGTTTTTTAGTATGATAACTGATTGCACAAGATGTGGAATTGTTAATAATTCTAGTCATATGAGCAGTGTGTGAATGGTTCCGCTGAAGATAATCATTTAATCATTATCTTTGCTAAATCAGAACCTGTGGCAATAATAATTAATGCTTAGTGATTTGAACTGGAAAAAAAAAAGGAAGAAATGCTATCTCAAATTAATTGTGGCATTTTGATAACAACAGTAACCTCAAAACATTTTTAACAGCTTTGAAGGATTGCAAATTTGCAGATTTTATATGCAATTGTTTTGAACCATTTTTTTACTAAAGGCTAGTAAAATGAGGATTTTTTTCCATTCTGAAATGAAGTAATGTAAAATAGCATATTCTATTCTGATATCAGATTCTCTGAAAGAGTTAATGTCTCTCAACCTTAGCGTTTACAGTCTAATCAATTTATGTCTTTGACTTACTTTTAATATACTATTTTTTTCCTTTCATTTACACCTGATAGTGATTCTCAAGTGTAAAATATTTTTACATCACTTAATATCAAACTGGAAAAAAATTCAAATTGCACTTGTTCCTCACACACAGAGAGCCCTTTCTGTGGAGAGTGCCAGTGTAATGGAAGGACATAACACATTGCTTTCTGCAGCCTGTAATAGGGATTTTCTCATTTATCCTTCTGTTATTATAGGACCACGTGTGGATGGTCCAGAGATTTAGACAGTGGCATGATGATTTGCTATTGATTTTCTCTTTTTTCTATCCCAGTAATTTTTAATATTTAATTTGCCTCCTTCCCCACTACTGAGCTGATCTGCATACCTGCTACCCACCATGACACCAAACCCTCACTTCTGTGTGGCAGCAGTCAGTTCAAGTGCAGCATTTCACCAAACCTGCAGCTAAAACTTAACAAGAAAATCGAAGCTCCTACCAACAGAGTAATAACAAGCCAGAAATCTGCTGTTCTTCCTGGTTTCAAAATGAGATAGAATTTGTCATGTCCGTTCCTTTATTTTAACAGGAGATGGTGGCACAGGACTCCTTTTCCTGTAATCCCCAGAACTCAAGGCTCCATGCTTAACAGTTCTACCTGCAGAAAATGGTGTAGGAGAATCACACTAAAAGCTTGGTTTCTTGCAAGAATCTTACCACTCATAACTGGTATGTTGAAATAATAGCATTCTACTAGCAGAATTTGCCCTATGGACCTTTTTCTCTTGGTGTAAAAGAACCCTTTCTATGCAAACAACATTTTGAGCGACAATTTCACCAGAGAATAAAAGTTCTCATTTTGAAATTAAGTTGTCTACCAGAGAAATCCCTTGGCATTACTAAATAAATTTAAATTGATGCCTTACATTCTTTATTTCTGTGACATAGATGTGGTCAATTGAGCACTAAGAAAATGCCTTCTGTAGATATTTTGGAATTATACTTGAAGTTTTTTGCTTCCAAAGCCAGATAGAAAGAATTAGGTCTAAATTTTGCAAGGTGTTATCATTTTCTACTGTTTGATAGATTAATATTGTTGGCCTCAGTGAAGAAGCAGAAGGATGATCAACTAGCCGAGTGAATATATTCAATAAAAGTAAATTTATTATATGATTCCATTGCTCATATCCATTTTCTTAAACAAGTCTTTGACACTGTGAGATTTTAGAATGTAAGATTTTGAGGATTCTGAGAGGTCACTGAGATGGTTTAATGCAGCAATTCTCTTCCCTGTTTCAATGGAGGCAAAAGAAGAGACTGTGTGGTTGCCCTTAGCCTCTGCAGATCATAATCTGGCAGGTCAGCACAATTCCATTTCCATCAACGACTTGCATTAACATGCCTCCACAGGACACTTTGGGATCTAGACTGTACCTACATGAGCTTTCTCTCATGATTGCTGCACCATCTTTCACAACCTGACAATCTAGAAGTGCACAGAAGTATTAGAGCATATTTGCTTCTGTTTGATGCCTCTCTTTGGTCTCTCTTGACACAACTGTGAATGTCAGGGCTATGAAACACAGCACAATGACAGGCATGGGCATGAGGTAGTAATCTCTGCCCAGGGCAACTGAGACAGAAAATGCCTTAGAATTTCACCCACAGGATTTACCCAAGGGACACAGCTCAGACTTGAAAGATAGAGGAACAGAAAATAAATTCTAGTATCTGTCCCTTGAAGATGTAAGTTATGGTGTGGTTTTTCTAAAGGCTAGAGAATCTGCATCTGTGAGAAGAGCAAACCTAACAGTAT